ACGACGAATGAGCACAGCCTTCCACCCCCAGACGGATGGGCAAACGGAAAGAATTAACGGCATATTGGAACAATATCTCTGTACATACGTCAACTACCAACAAGATGATTGGTACGACTGGCTACCACTAGCCGAGTTCGCCTACAACAACGGAAAACAAGAAACAATCAAAACAACTCCTTTCTTCGCAAATTACGGCATACACCCCGAATACCAAAGCATAGGTCATATGCTCCAAGGAAAGATAATGGATAAAAAAGATATGAGTCAACTACATGACATATTACGAAATGAAATGGTCACGGCTCAATTACGACAAAAGGAAGACTACGATCGCCACAGAAAACCCGATCCAAACCTAAAATCAGGAGATATGGTTTGGTTACTACCACGCAACATCCGAACCACGCGACCGACAAAGAAACTGGATTACAAGAAAATAGGACCATTCAAGATATTGGCAAAGATAGGAAGCCGCGCTTATAAGCTCGACCTCCCACCGTCAATGAAAATACACAACACCTTCCATATCAGCCTCCTCGAACCCTATCAAGACAATCCTCTACCATATCAAAGGAAACCCCCACCACCGCCTATCGAAATAGACGGTGAATCAGAACACGAACTCGAAGAAATAATCGACTCTCGATTACACTACGGTCGCTTGCAGTACAGAGCGAAGTGGACGGGATACTCGCCCGAACACGACAAGACCTGGTACCCAGGCGAAAACTTCAAACACGCACAAAATGCAGTCCAACAATTCCACCGAAAATACCCCCACAAGCCAACAACCGACAGTCGAGGACATACCCGATTCAGGGCATGTAACGCCAATACTATACCGCACAGACTCTTACCAGTGGGAATATCCCAAGGGAAGAGGTGCGATGACGATGCCGTCAACCCTACAGTCATTGCCAGAACGCGAGGCGTTCAAACACATCACACCAACGAGTCCGGGATAACGGACCCCCACCCCGCAGCCAGCTCCAATCAAGATGGAGCTGAGCAACGAAGATTGGACCAACCTGGTAGACCTCAACCTGAGGAAGACCACAACACCCGAAAGGGAACACGCGAACCTGTCATGGACAGGTTGCTACAACGACGAGTGCCAAGTGCACAAAAGCGAGAAGGAAGGCACGGGATACTGGCCTCGGGAAACGAACCGATGGCCACCCAAGACTTCACCTCTGGGATCACCAACGAGATCCCCAACGCCACCGAGAAGCCCCACACCAGAGCCAGTGGCTCTGGTCCAATACATCAAGCCAACTCTGAGGACGGAATCGAGGAGGAGGGGGGCGAAAAAACAAAGACAATGGGCAAAGCCCAGGAACCCGAAGCAGGTTTTTTGGCAAGAAGAGATGGAAGAAGAGACGGAACACGAGACCTCGGCGGAGGTCAAAATGAAGTGGTTAGCAGAGAAAACAGAAACCAGCAGGTTGCTGGAGTATCAGGTGGAAAAGATAGAGGAACTCAAGAAGGAGCTGGAGAGGACGAGGTGGAGCAACAAAAATTTGACGAAGGAGTTACAAGGAGAGAGGAATATGAGAAAGGTTCTCCAGAACGACTGGAGGAAAGAAGAGAAGGAAGCAAGGAGAACTTTGGCCAGGGTGGTCAAGGTGAACACGGGAGCGAATAGGTACTATCCGCTACCCGAAGGAAGAAGATGGGGGATAGAAGACTGAAGCCCGATGGGACTCGGGCTGAGGGAGAGGGGAGCTAATGTCACGAACTGTGACTAAGCAAGGCAGATTTCACATAGCTCGGGTTTCCGAGGTATAGGTATGTTGGGATTTCACATGACGTACACTAGTACGCCATAGGTTATTATGTTTACTTGTTCGTGACTCACAGTTGTGAGTCACACGATGTTATGACTTTTTGCACATGACTCAATGTATGAGTCATGGGTTTTACTCAGGTGACGCGAGTTGCGCACCTGACTTGGTTATTATGTTTTGATTGGTTTAGGCATGTTGCGCAGCGACTCATAGGAGTCGTCTGATGGATTTCATATGACTCATGGTTATGAGTCACAGGGTTCGTGTGACACGAGGTGTGAGTCATGCCAGGTGAAGAGCAACTATATAAGGGGTCACTAAGACCCCAAGTATGAGCTCTTCATACGTTCTTTTTGTTTATTTCCTACCTTTAAAGTTATTATCAATAAAACCTACCTTTACGCTCTTTAAGATTTATCTTAAGAAACCCGAGAAAGTGTCTTTCCTCTCAGAAGAAAAGATACAGTCCTAAGCGAGGACTAAGAAGAAGAATAAGGAGATAGGCATGAGTACGATAGTAGTCAAAGGACTAGACTATCGGGATCGCGTAGGCATAGGCCTAAGAGCTATCACCTTACAGAGAAGTATCGTTACCTGTCGCTAGGTCCTACCCGGTAGGATTCTTAACAAGTGGGCCATTGCTTCAGTTGTAGTAAATCTTTCTTCGCTAAATCTCCATGCGTCTTGATAGGTCTTTTTTAAGCCTTTCATGAACCACCTCATAGCTGAGGCCTCGTCGCAAGCCGCATCGTACTGGAGTAGTCGAAACTCGTACCAATAATCGGTGACAGTTTTTGCCCCTTGGTGAATATCTTCCAATTTATTCCTTGCTGATTGGCTCAATTCTAGGTCTGTGAATTGGGCTTCAAATATGTTTTTGATGCTGGCCCAGTCCGTCCAGGGTGCAGCGTTGCTAACCACGATGGGGGTTATCCATTTTAGTGCTTGTCCTTCCAGTAGTGTAAGGGTGTATCGTATTTTGTCTTGGTCATTTCCCATAGTCCACCCGACCACATCAAAGTAGGTCAAGAGTTGGACCATAAATCCTCGTAGCTTGCTTCTTTCTCCATCGTATCGTGGTGGGGTCTTGACTTTGGGTTGTTGTCCGGCTCCTCTTATAGCTTCTCGTATCATTTGTTCCACTTCATCCCATGGAATCATCTGAGGAGGTGCTGGTCCTGCCGGAGGCGGACCTGGGGGTGGTGCTGGTCCTGACATTCTCTCAGGTCTTGGTGTCTCGGGTGGGTCTTCTTCGTTCGGAGGGGTCGTTTGTTCAGGTGTAACCGGACTTGTCGATGTTGCTGAGTGTTGACTTGCTTCGCTTAATGCTTCTTCCAATCCTCCTAATCCTAGACTGTCGTCTTGGATGTCTATGTCTCCCTCGTGATCTCTGTTGAATGGATTCGTTGTGTAATCGTTAAGTGTCGCGTTATAGACACGTTCTAATATTAAGAATCCTACCGAGTAGGACCTAGCGACAGGTAACGATACTTCTCTGTAAGGTGATAGCTTTCAGGCCGGTGCCTACGCGATCCCGATAGTCCAGTCCTTTGACTACTATCGTATTCGCGCCTATCTCCTTATACTTCTTAAGTCCTTTACTGGGGACTTAGTTGTTCGATGTTGGAGGAGAAATAGTTTCCTCGCTTGAGAGGAAAGACAATTCTTGGATTTCTTAAGATAAATCTTAAATAGCGTAAAGGTATGTTTTATTGATAATAACTTAAAGGTAGGAAATAAACAAGAAGAACGTGTGAAGAACTAATACTAGGGGTCCTAGTAACCCTTTATATAGTAGCTCTTCACCTGGCGTGACTCATACTTATGTGTCACGCGACCCTTGTGACTCATAACTATGAGTCACACGAAATCCATCAGCCGACTCTTATGAGTCGCTGCGCAACATGCCTAAACCTAATCAAAACCTTAATAACTATTTCAGGTGCGCAACTCGCGTCACCTGAGTGAAACCCATGACTCATAACTTGAGTCATATGCGAAAATCATAACATCATGTGACTCACAACTGTGAGTCACGAACAGGTAAACATAATAACCTATGGCGCACTAGTGTGCGTCATGTGAAACCCCACATACCTATAGCTTGGAAACCCGAGCTATGTAAAATCTGCCTTGCTTAGTCACAGTTTGTGACAACAACTCAGATTGCGTAAATGTGTTGCAAGAAAGTTCAACATCACCGAACAGCTAGAGGTATACGCCAGATTCCTAAATGGCCGGCAAACTCTCCAGACTTGAATAAGATCGAGTCTTGCTGGAATTACCTTAAGGATGCAATGATGGAGTACGACTTTACTCGAACAAGTGAGCAGACAAGGGAGGAGGTGATAAATACTTTTAGGTTTGAGTGGAACCGTATGCCTCAGGAGTTGGTTGATTGTTTCTGTATGAATTTTCACCTCAATCTGTTACAGGTTTGTGCTTGGGGAGTAGATAATAAATTTAATGCCTAACAGTGTAGAATAGTTTGCTGTACCTGAGAATATTATACAAGCTAATACATATTTGTGTTTGGTAATTGGTGTACCAGTATATGCAAATATCGTACCCCATTGAGTTCCAAGTTCATCATGTAAATCACCACCTACTGTTATATATGCTTTCAATTCCCTGAACAGTTAGTGTCTGTTCTAGTCTCACACTTCTTATGAAGTATGCTTATTCTGGAAGAAAGATTCGGCTGCACTCACTATGACAAATGGGGAAGGCAAATCTTGGCTGAGACGCACGAGTATTGACCTGGCGGCTACCCCTTAATTTAGTCTGTCGGGCGCTGTGCCCAAGAGATTTGGTTAAGAAAATTACCAGATCTGGAAAGTACCCTTTCTTAGTTGGAAATAAATTCGTGGTGAGTTGGTTATTACACCAGTACTGCACATTGGTGGTTCCCGGTTCGAGCCCGGGGCTAAACCATCTTTTCCCCCCTCCCGGGGTATCATAGTTATCACTTTTTCTCCCAACTAGATTTAGTCCCTTTTAGGGTATTTTTCCAATTACTGCTCCTCATTTTGGTCGGTATCACATCCCTGAAGGCCCGAAGGTCGTCTCAAGGGAAGGTGTGGGAACAAGTCATATGATCTAGAAGGTAGGGCAAAGAGATAGAACTATGGAAGGGGAAGTGCAAAGTATGATAGAAACGACGGGGGGTCAAGCACTTACCCTCCTTGCTGGTGGATTTGGAGCTTCCAGTACGAGGCTGGTGACAAAAATTATCGGTAGTTACTGGTACCCGACCGAAAACACCTATATTCATGCCTTCTGTTCAATATATTCTAAAGGTGTAAAAATTTGAAAAATTGATAGTATGGTCCAATGCTCTTTAGAAACACCTCTCCCAGTACTCACAGATTATTGAAAAATTATAGACTGCTTTGGCATGCAATATTGTAAAGTTGAAGTTGAAAACAGCGCCAAGCCTTGCCTTTTGCCATACAAAATCTTCAGAAATTGCGCCAAGGCCAATGTACCAACCATTGTTCTCTTAATAATTGCTCAGCCAGTTTGGATACGGAGTTCTGAGGGTTGGGAAGTAAAATCCGGAGAATTACCTAAACATACATGGAGATTTGTTCTGAATTCATTCACTAGATCAGTGGTTGGAAGGTCATGAATATGGTCGTTTTCAGTGGAAAACCCGTACCTACCGGTGATTTTTGTCGCCAGCCTCGTACTCGCCAAAATGAAGAGTCTGTCCCCGACCTTTACCTATCCGCGGGCGATCGCTACACCACAACCTGCTTGTATGAACCACATCCATCCTTCATAACGTCGCAGGACTACTCGAGTACGGTAGTCTGCGTGGCTGCAGCTTTTCGGGTCTCGGGTTCGGCCCCTGTAACTTTCTGTTTGGTGGCCAAGCCCGGATGCGGCTCTGTATTATGGCACCCGAATTTTTCATGACTTGCTCATCTCACACAATCTCCACGAACCATCGCCAACCTTCAACCCTCCCACCGCCTACTAGCTACTCATGCCACAATGCCAGCCAAAACGAAACGAAAACGAGAACCCTCTTCCGAAGTCAATGGGCCGCTTCCAGACTACACTATCACGGTAGCGCCCACAAGTGATTTCCCTCCAATTCTTGGTTTGCCTCACCTCACCCCAGCCATTCACAAACTGACGGGGAAGGGGGCAAACAGCTTCATCACACGGCATATCCATGCCACCAACTACTGAATTCACGCCTTATGTCCACACAGTCAACCCACCCGCCAAGAAGCCCCGGAAGGCACAGGAATTCTTACTCTATGGAGAGACTCCTCGAATCGGGTACGAAGGTCGGGAGATGCCCGAAGACGGGGACTACCGGAGAAATTACGTTGGCATCTTCAATCCCAAGACGAATGGGATTGAGTTGCATCTTGCGCCGAAGCTTCATTTTAGCAGGATCATCAAGGCGCATATCAAGCGGGATAAGTTAGTTGACGGGAAGGGTGTTGTTATGGGTGTATGCAAGCTTCTCTCCAATTTGTGGGTCAGGGGGAATGCTGATTTAGATCGGGGGAAACAGAATGTGGATTCGAGAACTGCCTTAGGTAAAGAATTCGGTACGAAGAAGAGTCAGAAGAGAATTCGTGAGATCGAACTCAACAAGATTGATGTCTCGGATATGAACGAGAACATCACTACCTCGATTGTCTCCCAGGTGGAAGCAAACACCAAGGACATGCCAACCGCGGCAGAACTAGGTAACCAGGTCCGCGAGAATAAGCCTATTCCAAAGGTAAACCATGACGCAAAACACCCTAATGAGGTTTACAACTTCGAGGACATCATCGGCTCCGACGAATATAACGTGATATGGGTCCGAGACTGGGAGCAGGGTGAAGAGCTGAAGAGGTATGGTTTATATATCTCTACGACCCCCCAATGTGCAAACAGAAGATTAAAACCAAATGATAAAATAGTAAATCCTCCTTCGTGCAAGCTCGCATCCGCAAGCTCTCCGAAGACAAGAGCAAAAAGCACACTCGCCTTCTAAAAATTCTCCGCTACATCTCCTACATGATAGACTTCTACCTCCTTCAGCAGCGCGGCGGCGGCCGACTTCCCGCCATGGACCGGGTGAAGAAGGCGTTGTCCATAGACCACGCGATAGCAGAGAGCTTCTTCAGGCGCTACACCGAAAAAACCATCTCCGGCGAGGGGGGAAGCGACAAAGACATATGCGCCGTATCCCCCGCACTCGCAAATAAGATCCTTTACCACATGGCCGTGCTTTGCTTAATGGTAGGCCAGTACGACGTAGATATCTTCGAGTTGAAGAATGATCTCGGCATGCAGCCCAAAGAGTACCCCCCTCTCTGATGGTGAAGGTGCCTAGGCGATCCATTGCTGATTGAGGCTTTTTTGTGTGTAGGCTTACCCTGGCATTTAAAGAAGTTGGCTGCGTGATCCGAGAATTCACGAAGCCGCAGTACACCGCAATGAAAATGACAAAGGCTGAGGCCGCGCAGCATAAGAGGGCGGTGTTGAAGATTCCGCTGGAATTCCCGAAGCCGCCGACTAGGAGGGCTAGGGCTACTAGGCGGTAATTTGGATATCATGGAAGCTTTTCACCAATGCAGGAGCGGGTATATGCTTGTGAAATATGCTTCTGGTGTGGGGGGCTGCATACTGTATGTAAGTTAGTGATAATATCGCTTCTATCAACTGTCTTCCGCCCGCTTCCGTAGCCGTAGTTTCTATAGCTTGTAAGGTAGGGTGAATTTTCGGGAAGCCGCGATCTTAGGTAGTTGCTTGCATGAAAGCTCTGGTTATTGCGTGAAAAAACTGTGAGCTAAGCTATCGAGTGAGATTCTGTGGTTAATACTGAATGATAGTTTGAATCTGCGTTCGAACACCACAGCCTTTGTAGGCCGGGGGGGGGTCATATTGCCCTTGGGCAGCACCCCAACTAACTATTCATTCTCTAGGGCTTCTCTCTTCCTATAATGCGGCGTTGATTCGGGCAAGTGCCGTATTCGCATCACGAGTGAGCTTTCATGAATCACCAGCCACCACATATCCCCCCAATAAGCATAATAAGTTGATCGCAATCGCAAGCCTTCACTCTCATTTCGCACCCCCCCGTGCATATACCGTCTGCAGGATCCCTCCACTCCAAGCACTCCAACCTAGAGTCCCCTGCTATGCGGTCCCGCCCAGCGGACTAATCCAAGAAACCTCGACCAAGCCTCCTCCAAATCCCAATGCAAGCCCTAGAAATTCTCGTAACGGGGTCCAAAATCCCATTCCATTGGGTTACACCTGCGGATACTTTGTAGATTTTTATGCATCTTAAGCACTAAGCTATCCTCAACACCCTCCCGAACTTGCATCTGGCTTCGCCGCTCTCGAAAATCGTCACTTCCGTTGCGCTGCCGCGACTTGTCTGATTGCTTCAAGGAGCGGGTTAGCCATAGTTGGGGGTTTTTTTATTTTACCAGCTGGGAGGGGTCAGTTAGAGGACCGTCTGTGCTATAATACCATGTTTGAGATGTCGCGCCTGGGAACATCTAACTGAGCCATCTTTACAGCTTTTCATGTTGGGGCTCACTGCGGGATGTATTAGCAGGTCAATATGGGGTAAGAGGGGAGGGGGGGGGGGTTGACGTCCATTGCTTCGTTCATGAGGATTCTGGAATAACGTCTAGGCTTTTTGGTGGTGTCGATTTTAGTTCTGTAGTTCACATGGTGGTCGATGGGAGTTGTTGTTCTCCAAAATTAGTTCCAAGTGTGTGCACACACTTTGTGGGTGGGGTGGGCGAGAGGGCTACCGAATACTGTACCTCTTTCCGAAAACCAGAATTGTGCAGGGCCCTATGGTGCAGCCATGAGCCGTTGCTGATATTTTCTGGGTAAATCTGCATATTTCAGACTTTCCTGAATTGAGGTGCAGACAGTGGCTGCCTCCCCATACGAGTTTTTTTTAGTTGCTCTTCAGTCATGGCCCATGACCTATATTTAGCTTCTGCGAGATTGACCTGGGGGGGGGGGGTGACTGGTGGTTTGGTGATATCGAGATCTGGCTCGATGATAAAGCATTTAAGGATCGTTCTTATCCTGATCATTAGGTAGCACTCGAGGGACACTAAAATCGGAACAGAAACAAACTTCCGTGCAAAGTCATGGCTAATATCCAGTATAGCTAACCGAATCTTATACCTCAGAGCAATACTAACCGTGGCTTGAACATATAGTCCACCCTGGTAACCCCTTCACACACTCTCTCCCCTCTCATTAGACATAACTCCGGGTAGAACGGGGTGTCCATACCCCCGGATTTTGCCAAGGTGCAGCGGATCTGATCACCCTGCAGCCAGCAATAATACATCTTCAGACCGGAGAGGAGTCTGGAGGAAAGGAGTGTAAAAGACTTTATGGTCCAAAGTGGACAATCCCCCCTATCATAGATGGTAAGGGATATGGTTACTTTCCGGTTGCATCGTGTTTAAATAGAGACGTTTAATGGTTAGAGCTATATAGAGCTGCGACTACAGGTGTAATACCAAGAAGCCATCCATCATATAGAAGTAACTGAACTGTTCACGATACCTGCAAAACTTCATCCGTAATCTTTAGGGCCTGTTTGGCGGGAACGGTAGGCGGGTCGACCGTTCCGTTCGTTGATGATTTTTGCTGGGGAAATGGTTGTCTTGGCATCTTCAGAACGGAAGGAAACGGTCATTTGTATGGGGGAACGGAGCGGTTCCGTTCCCGCCAAACTGGCCCTTAGTATTTGGAGACTATACAACTCGCGGCAGTCGGCAGTCAGTTTCTGGCTCCGGGATCCCCCATGGCGGAATATCTTCTGACTAAATCTTGTCAACTGCTAGTAGCACGGCGGATCTCTGGTTCATTGTCTGAGACGGTTGGAAAAAAAGAAAAAAAAACTTGACGCTTCACAAACGGGATCCTGGCTCACGATTCTAATAATCCGGAGAACACGGAGAACCCCGAAACATAAACATTCAGGGAAGGTATGATAAAAGCCTAACTCAGCAGTTATTGCACAGACCAATATTACACGTAAATGCACCAGTAGCATGCAGTAGACTAGCCCCAGCACCTTGCAACTTTGTGTTAAGTGAGGCCTTCTACACACACAGTTTGTGAACCTCCTGGCTCCTATAGTATTCAGTGAACAAGGCTCTCCACGCTGTGGTAGGGAATTGTCCTTAAGAAAGGAAGGAAGGAAGGAAGGGCCATCTGTACCAAAGAGGTCAGCCGTAGCGGCGTCAGTCGGTGGATACGAACAGAAATGAGGAATCCTTCAAGTATGATAGTTTGGCCCGTCTGAAGTTCGGCAGGATTGTCGGCAACGGGCAAATAATAATGCCGCGTGTTGCCCAGCCTGCCGGCAAGCTATTCTGCTGCTCTCTATCGATCAAGAGCTTGTTGCCTCCTCCTCCTCCTCCTGGTTACGAAATCAATCACAAGTAAGACGCAATGATTCTGTCTATCGCTCAGTATCATAACCAATTCCACACAGTGAACAAATGGATAACTAGCGAAACCGGAAAACCATCGCACCATGTTCAATACGGCGCGCTCTCTAGTTCAATTTATCCCTTCAGGACCCTCTTTCCCCCGGAGGCTCGGTAGACCCTCCCCAAGGCTGAAACCACAACTTCCTTGGCAACCAGCATAAGTACCTGGCACAAACTAAACATTTCGTGTTCGGCCACAGAACGATGAAAATTTCGCATCCCGTCCGCTCTGCGGTAAACAAGCATCGTATCGACCGGTTAGTACTACAGTGGGTGACCATGTGGGAATCCCGGTTGCTGAACTCTTTTGCAGTATTTCTTTTTTTTCTTCTTTTTTTTTTCCCTCTTCCCAAGCTTTCTTCTCCCCATACGGGGACCGCCTTTGGTCCTTCTTTTCTCTAACGTCAATAATAAAAACGAGATGGTAGGATTTGCAGTGGTTGTGGTGGCTGCATTGAAAGCAATCTCAGGCTCCCCTCCCCCCCCCCCTTTTTTTTTAGCCCCATGGAAAACGACTTCTGTCTCCGACTTGACTTTGGTTGTGGATGGGTTAGAAGTAAAAGAAGGTGTTTCGGCGGGGGCTATTGCCTGTGGCTAGCATTATCTCCAAGGATCAAGCTAGTTAGAAGAGTCGAGGAACATCATGGGGATTCTCGCACCGAGGTTTTCAGAAAGTATGTACCGGTATTGGACCACTGACCGCGATCAAGCGGGTTATGCTTCGGCTATACCTTTCTCACCACGCCGATAGCTTACGGCGCAAGTATTTTTGTGGGGACTGGAAACAATACCACACTAGTGGGGGAATTGGAAAAACAAACTCTACACACCCTACTGGTCAGGCAAACACGCATCTGGCGGTTGTGAATTCCGCAGCTCTCGAGTACCAAAGATAACAACATCCAAGGCACAGCACCTCTAAAAAGCAGCTAAGGCGTTCCGTAACCCGCAGAAGCGGTCTTCCATATTGTTGGCCATTTCCTCTTTTCCCACGGGGTTAATTTATGTAACTGTTTCACGGTTCCTAAGTCGCGAGGATAAAGTTTACATTATTTTTTTGTTTCATTTTTTTTTTCATTGCAAGTCCCTATTCAGTTCGCATCGCAAAGGAAAAAAAACAGTAACAAAGACCCAGAGACATGCTTCCAATAACTCAGCTATATTCCCTCGACCGAGAATTCAAACCCATCTCGGTCATTTGAATCATAACTCCATTCCCAGCAATACGTTCCCAGTTATTTTCCTCTCCACAATTCCCAATTGCTTCCGACTCGAGACCCAAAGATTGTTGTTGTTGCTGTTGCTGTTGTTGTCGTTGAAGATGAGGTGTCGTCTTAATTTCGAAGGTACGGAGGAGGGGTTTTTTTTTTAGGAAGTTATTTCCAGTTATAGGTCGGCAAGGGTGAGTTTATTTGCTATTGGGGGAGTTAGAACATCGTTTTCTATAGTAGCAGGGCGAGAATCAGGGCGAGAATGTCGATTGATAGTACGAACCTGCGAGCTCTAGTCTTTCTTCTCTTTCGCTTAAGACGCCTAACACGCTTCTTTCTCCATTTAGCTATAAGAATTGCACGTTAGTGATTGTTCGCATAATGCTGTTCGAAGGAGCGAGGAGAAATAGCGAAATCTGTACCTCTCATCGTGGCAGATGTTAACTAAGAGCTTGTTAGTATCCGATTTAAACCCGGGGTGGGATTTGTGGGAGACTCACGTTATCTCGACGATGATGTTTGGTGAGTGGAGGTGGAGGTGAAAGTGGAAGGACCGATAAGGAGTTTAGGGAGTGTGGAGGTCTGTGTGGGTGTGCCAAGACTAGCTTTGGAAAGTGCCGTCCCACTGCGGTGAGGGCTGACCCTGGGGTCGCTGCCCCTCACTGCTTCAGATACTGTAATCAGCAGTAATCTACGGCAGCTTCGGATGTAAGAATTGTTAAAGCAACTGCGGTGCTCGGTCGGGTAACTTGGCGGTGACCTTGTGTCACATGAATGGTGTCGGGACTAGGATATCGGTAACCATGAAATCATAATTTGGGTGAAGTTGAGTTTGTCGCCGCAACCCTAACGTGGTGGACTCCAGTGTTTAGATCTCCTGCGCAACCTTCAAAGCATCACTACTGAGGAGAAAGGAAACCCTACAATGGCGCTGGTGAGAGCATCCTTTGCTTTGTCCGTTTTGTCCTATAGATATTAATAATCTCCGGAAATAGAGATCCGCCCTTCAAAAGCAATATATGACCTTACTCTCCCACTGGCCGGCAGACCCCCTCCGCCCCAACCTGTCATTCCCCGACACCCTGCGTAGGCGCGTCGAACAGGAGTTAGGCACCCCACACCCACCAGAGTCGAGTCCTCAAACACCAACGAACACCGATGCCAAAGAAGTTGGTGTGGGGTCAAAGTTCGATGAGGGGTACGAAAAAAGGCAATTGAATGCCCTTTCAAGCCTTCTCGAAGACCGATACAAGAAGATGGTATACTCCCACCCTCGTTGAAGCCTCCATGAATCTATATAGGAGTGCTGATAGCGATGGCTGTGGCACCGTAGTACCCAATTACAGATCGTATCTTGATGCCAAAGAGTCAGCCGGATTATTATAAGAAACTTTTGGACGAACTTGATGTTGCTCCGAAAAGGTCTTGGTTGGAGGGACAGCTCAATTCCTGGAAGGGCTGGATCCGGTTGAGGTAGACTGATAATAATTGGACTACCGTAAATAATGTATTTGTAATGTATTGTGGTTTGCCTACAGTATCGCCTACAGTATCATAAGAGCCCTCTCAGGCCGCTAGTGACCCTTACCTCAGGATGGGCCGAAACTAGCCCCTGGAAAACGGTTCTCGCACCAACGACCTTTCATGCAGGTTCCGGCTTCTGCCCCTTTCCCTGAACCACACCTTTTCGTTTTTAGTCAACCTGGTGTCTAGAGAATCCTCTTTGTACGGCATTCCAACAGAGCTGAATAGAACTCGCCGAGTGATCATATGTGATGCCTGCGGGTGCAACCCGGGATGTCCGTCGAAGCTTTGATGGCTATCATACACGGAAACTAGAAGCCGGATCTCCAATCACTTCACGCTTAAGTACTTGTCAATACAAGCAGCAAGATGAAAAATAATTCATTACACAACAAACCCATTCCGGTCGTAGTCTACGTTTGGAGAGGCCTCACCTTTCCACACAATGGGCCTAAGCAACTATACCGGCCAAAACACCCCAAAGTCGACAGAGATTTGGTTTCAGGAAATCCCGATTTGCATCCCCACCTCTCTCTTACTCAATTGACCAAAGTGTATCCATAGATAGCAAAAGAACTAGCAATTCCGAAATTCATATTTCCACAACAAACCCCTTTGCTCTCTACGCAGGACTAACCAGCCAGAGTGACAGATTCTAAAACTGGAGACAAGTGCCGAGGGTTTGTGTAGGCCCCCATAGAAAAATAAATAATTCCTACTCCAAAAGTCACCAATTTCACGCCGCCACTGTTCACACGATGTTGCACCATATGCTTCAGGATTTTAATGTCGCGAATTCAATACCCGGAATCGTCATTTCACAAAGAATTTGTTTACTTGCGCAGCAAGTGGTGGAGTTCTGATGCTGTGAAAAGCTGTACTTTTAGTGTAAAAGTGGCCATCGGCGATGACATTTGTCACCTTACTGTACGGTGGAGGATGGGGCTCGGTGGCGCCGTGCCAAATTTCGCGGGTAAAGAATGTTATCAGTTACAATTGCAAGGTGGTTACAACACTTAATGGATAAGATACCGTAATAACGACAATTCTAATCGACAGAGACAATTCTAATTGACAGAAGGCAAACGACAAATATACAATGAAAGACAATCATAGAAGCTTTTGCGACTTAGAGCTCCACCATGTCGTTCTGAAAGGGGTGACTAGCAAATATCGCATGCCTCATAGTATGTCAAAGAAAGCCAGAATACACAGATACGGCAAAGCAGTAAAAATTTCACTGAGCTTTCCATCTATGCCCACCACCCTTCTGCCACAGCCACAAGGCATCCGTAGAATATGCCTTAACACTCATATGCCCACCAGTGGCCGCAGCTGCTTCCTCGAGACCCTCTATAACTCTTCCTTCAGCCATACACTTCCATAACCCCTGCACAATCTCCTCAATGCCAAAGCCACCCTGCTCGGTACCTCTTCCAAGCCTATACAGTATCCTCCCCAATGTCTGTATAGCCATACACCTCTGCGTAGGGAACGTGGACCTAGCAAGATGGGCTAGTTCTGGGACAGTATACCCGGCGGCGTTAGGCGCGGCTGCATGATGGTGGAGTCCCAGGTGGCCCGGGAGCTCACGGGAAACACGGGGCGGAAGAAGGTTCCCCTTGAAATCGAAACGTAGGGCTGATGCAGGGAGGTCGGTTTGGGAGGGGTGGTAGGATGACCTGTCTTCCTCAGACGAGACGGGTGCCATCCAGGCGAGTCTTGAGGGATCGGCAGGAAGGCTGGGGAAATATGTTGTATGGAGCTTTTCGAGGAATTCAGGGGAGTCAGGGTCGAGATTGTCAGCTTGAACTGTTGCAGTTGGTTTGGGAAAGTGCATGTTAACTGCAGGAAGGAGATTGTTGTTCTCGTCCACTGCTGGTAGGGCGTCGCTTTCGAAAGTGACCTTCTTTGTGAGCTTTGGACGGCCACTTGGTCTTTGTTGTTGATCTTCTGAAGTTGGTTTGAAGCCCGGCCCAGATTTCGACATGTTCCCGTCGACTTTCGAGTCTTTAAAGGAGCCATGAACTTCCTCGTCGCCCATCTGAGCCTTTTTTAGAAACCGCTCAATGAGGCCAGGAGGCAGTTTATCCATCAATTCTTTTTGCTCCCTCTCAATATCATCTAGTGACATGCTCGCAATGCGTTGCTCGTTCTGATCACTTATCATTTGCCTCTCTGTTCTCTCCGGGGTAAAAGTGTCCTTCATCTGCTTTTTCGGAAGAGTCCCCTGTATTCTTTGTTTGAATTTTGATGGACCACGAACCCGATTCCTATGCTCGGGAAATCCAGTGCCTTGAGATGCATTTGGAGGAAGAACCGGAACTGTAGGTGTGCTATCAGGTGTATTTTCGACAATGTCTCCGATGAGACTTGATCGAGGCTGGGGTGCGAGGGTCTGGTCGTCCTGAGAATCATTGTCCAAGGGTAAAACGAAACGCTCACCTGGGATCTCCATTTTGCTGTGGTTGTTACCCAAGTTGAATCAAGTGGTGCTGAATTCGGAAGCTTCCCGGGGCTGTTAACGTAGGATAAGCTCATTATATTCCCATGTTACATCAAGAACAGCAAGCTTGGAGATCTCCGAGATAGGGATGCCAAGATTGGAGAAAAGAAGAAAAAAAAAAGGTATGATGAATGCCAAGATTTTTCCAAAATTGAGCCTCACATATTTCTCCCTAAACCGAGTGACTGTTCGTGAACATCTTTGTATGGCTGAGGTGCGGTCGTAATGCCACTTTTTCCGGGCCCCCCCATTTTCCCTCTCTCTTACTTCAGTCTCCCTCCCAGCCCTCCATTTTCCCTCTCTTTTACCTTAATCTCCCTCCCATCCCTCCACCATCTTCACTTCCTCATTTACTTCCTCAATTCCCCCTCCTCTACCTACCCAACTCGCCAGCCATCTCAGTTTGGAGAAATTTGAACATCAAAAATAATCCAAAAAGTACTACTATAATACCCGAAGATAAGGAATGGCAATTCATTTCCCAATCCATTATCGGCCGACAATCCCACACACCGCTGCCAACTCGGTCAATGAAACGGATTCAGATATGGAATATGTTAGAGCAGTAGCTCTTGCATCCTCAGAATCTATCAGAATCACCAGAGAAATCCATGGCCAGGATATTCAAGGCTCAGTCACCCAAAGCCCTAGTCCTCCTAACGGGCTTGACATTTCTTGCCCAATTGGTGGGCTTCTGTTGGTACGCAGAGAGTATGTCAAAGGTAATTCCTCTATTGCTATCTTCCTGGGCTATCCTATTAAATCTACTAGGATTCGAGGTATATCTGAGTAAGGACATTCTCATTGGAAGGGACCCCAACAGATGTACTGTCTTTCTTGAGGACCTTACTATATCAAGACAGCATGTCCGGATATATTCTGTCATATTTGACGAGAAATCAGTACCGCTGGTTTACTGCGAAGATATCAGTCGGAGTGGCAGCCTTCTAAATGGCAAGTTTATCGGCACGCACACCAGTGTCCTGCTCTCGCATGGAGATGTAATCAGGATCGACAAACATAACTCCTTCTGTTTTATTCAACCTGATGCTCTCAACTCCATAGGACCTATATTCGACCCCATCTTTGAGCGGGAGAGAACTAGGTTAACGCCTGACTATATGATCACGGATCGTGTTCTCGGAAAGGGTGCTTACGGCCGGGTCCATCTTGCATGGGACCTTGTGAACCACAGGCAGGTTGCCTGTAAGGTTGTGGGATATGGCCTAAACCCGTTTCAAGGTAATCCACACAAGGCGAGGGATTTGCATCTGAGAGAATTCGAGATAATGGCATCCTTGAATCACGTAAATATACACCCCATCTTATATTCATCCACTTATACTAATACCAATGCCTCCTTGTCGTTCCAGCCAAACATCTTGGCCCTTCATAGGGTTATCCACACTGAGTACAACATCTACATGTTTTCAGATCTAATCACCGGAGGTGATCTATTCTCACGCCTCGACTCGGGTCCCATGACTGAGATAGAGATTTTACCCATTGTTTACCAACTGCTGAAGGCTCTCGAATATATGCACAATCATAATGTGGTTCATCGTGACCTCAAGGTTGCTTCCCCCTTAGCACTTGCGGACAAGAGGGCACATTTCACTAACTTCAATTCCGCAGCCTGATAATATCCTCTGCACTCGTCACGCCGATGGGTCTCGAATTGTACTCGGTGACTTCGGTTCCGCAAGATTCTTCACACCAATGACCACAATGCGGAGCCAATGTGGGACTTTGGAATACTTGGCCCCGTCCGTTCCTCTATTCCATATACACCCCGTTTACTAATGAGATCTTAGGGAACTCATCACCCCACATTTAGTTCCCTCGACTACGGGACATGCAAACGCGGTTGACTACTGGGCCCTAGGAGCTATTGTATACACACTCCTAACCAATACCACGCCTATCATAGGACCATTTGCTAGGATTCCTACCAGACTTCAAGACTACGAGCTGACTCGCCTGGAGGATAATAAAGAAGAATGGGTCAACATATCTCCTGAAGCAAAAAGTTTTGTTCGCCGGCTTATGACCACTGATCCCAGGAAGCGCATGGGTGCCGATGAGGCCCAATGTCACGTTTGGATCGCTAGACACATGGGGGACCTGGAAGATCTTTACGGAAGAGCCATTCAAAGATGGGAGCCGCTGGACAGGACTGATTTCAGAATCGAAGGGATAATAATTGGCGAGCGAGCCGATCCATTCTATAATCGCCCAGCCAGCTTCCAGAGCTCCCTTAGTCAGGTTCCGGATTTGGTATTTGAGAGTTCCCTCTCGTCCGATAACTTTTCCCCAGAACCTAGAGAACCCAGACAAACTTAAAATTTGTAAGGGATAACTTGTGAAGGAAGGTTCGAGAAACCCCAATTTTAAACATTTTCATTCGGAGGCAATGAAAGCTGATTAAAACTTAGATGGAACCTCTCTTCTACCACCCTTCTGTCACCCGCTGACCATCCATTGCTTTTAAAACTCTCGCCAAGACTTGCTTCAACGATACCTTTTGCGTTGTTATTTCAGGGGTTTCTCATGTCTATCTCCTTCTACTTTTTTTCTAGTTGCGACATACTCCCAAATTCTAATGAGCGATTGCCCTTATACCGACCATTATACATGTTTCTTTTGTTATACACACTTTCTTTGGCCTATGCATACAGTTGCAACTATTTGCAGTCCACCAAAGGCTGCTTTCGGAATTTTTCCCCCTCCATTGAATCCAGCCTAGCCTTATCATGTCTTTTCCATAGTCTGTTTTCTCATTTTCCCATGAATCCCCACAAGAGAAAACTGCGCCTGAAAGGGCTGTTTATGGTAGAATTTAATCAAAGTCAGAAAGCCCCTCCAATCACGAGACGTACAGTACTGCTATAAGTGCAAAAAATGATGACTTATTGGTTTCCCAGATTGTTCAAAGCCCTCGCCTACCACCACCACAGATATATTGTAGCTTACCAGTGGGGTGTTACTCTTCCTGTTATACTCCTATACTCCCACTTCGGCAAACACGCAGATATCGACTCATTGCCTAGCCTCAAGCCCAGCAATCCAGTGAGCCTGGGGACATATCGGACAAGAACCTGCCGCATTTGAATCATACTTGCCAGGTTCTCCACTGCACAAGTGCCGGCAGTACTAGGGAGAGTGAAGCTTAGCAATTGTTGTGTTTTGTATATAAGTTATCATAAGAGCACGAAGACATCACCATAATTATCTTGGCAGGAACAAACTCAAACCCACTATCCTAGGAGCAGCGAACGGAGCGAAAAAACTTAGCATCGATAACACCTCAACACTTTGGCTCCACCGGTGTCAGCAAGCAACAACCAGAGCAACAAAAATGTTTTGACGGCAGGTCTACTCTCTCTCTGGTAGATAGAAGTCCTTAATTCAGCTCTAGTTACTCTCCTCGGCGTGCATTGTCCATCGTTTTAAGCATTCACTATCACACAATAGTTTGTGAACAAGCCGCAGGATATACAAACAAGAGCGCTACCAATGCATATCTTGCAGATCGTTATGAAAGCTAGCTCCTTGGCTTACTATTGTGAGATCCACTGAGAAACCACTCGATAACATGTTACTAACACGTTATCGGCAGGAACGTGAGAATACTCCCAATGGAGTCAATGCCTACAGAAAATTTTCCATGGTTGCAACAACCTCAGAATCCTGGTGGTCCAGCGGGGAGAGTCGGGGAGACCTAGCCGTATAGCGCAAGACTACGTCTTATTGTCCCTCTAGTCCTGATAATCCAAGACCTCTGATAGGAGTAGTATCGGCCAGGTTGTGCTTGAGCATAGCGGACCACCGGCTCCCACGGAGGACTATATGGGGAATTGCGGGGTGGTAAGGAGGGATAGAGAGTTAGAAGTGATGAGTGGTAGGTTGTTGAAATATAGGTTACCAGGACAGCGACACATGTGTGTGAAGGGGGGGTGTTGGATTTTTCTCAATTTCTTCCCCTCCCTTTCTCCCTTGCTTCCTATGGGATCTTTTCGACAGGGGGCAACTCGGATAGTGTGCCAACTCGGGTTCAATTAAGGGCATTGGCTTTTCCCTCCCCGTGGATCACAAAGTCTCTGATAGACATTCCGTCCAAGGATACCAACGAGAGAGAGAAACACGAAGCAAACGAAATTCGGTTGAGATTTCCGGGCTCGCAGAGAAATCAGGTGCTATTTATATAAGAAAAAGCAATGCCTTCAGAGAGGCCTATATCACAGCACGCAATAGGGGCCACTAACACAAATACTAATACAGACTTTTGCCACCTTGCTACCATGATAAATCTCTCATTTGTGGGCGTCCCAGGGGGCAAAATGCCGTACAGTACCCGTATTGCGCCAGTGAGAGTGTTCTACAGCAGGTGGTTCGGGCCATACTCCACAATCTCAACAACAGCCGGCCAAGAGGCGAATATCACGGGATGGGGGTATCTGCTTATTTGCTTCATGGTAGGGTGGAGAAGGGGGTCTATATCTGTACTTTATCGCTTTTCCTCCACAGTATTTCCTTCCTCTAAATATCCACAACACCGCATCGGCCAATAGCAGCATCACGGGGAGTGGGGGAGTTCCCCCCTCACTTGATCCCGAATTCCACAGCCTTAAAGCGCACAAACTAGCGCCAAGGACAGCGGGCCACCAGTCGTGGAAGATAGAGAGAATGCCGCATATCACAAGCCACAAAAGTAGTCTAAATCTTTGTAACCCCAGGAATGAGGGGGGTGTTGGTGATTGCGATTGCAGGACTTGCCGCGTCTTATGGAGTCTTGTCAAATTCTCACTCCAGCAATTTTCATCTTCTGTGCTCCGATGTCTGTCAAAACTAGGGGAGGTGGAAAAGCCCGAGGGTTATCCCCAATACCGGGCCCGGTTGTTCTTCACCCAGTCATGTGTCAAGAGGAGGAAGCGGAATTTGTTAGGGTCTTTAAATAGCACGGTTATCTACAGCAAACCAAAACTACTAAGGGGGTCCCTGGTTGCTTAGGAGCATGATCCCGAACAAGTCGAGTGATACATGGTGATGACCCCGTACTATGATACGGTACTTGCACCAATGAATGCCAAGACTCCAGCTGCCAGGGGCGCATTCCTCTTGGCAACAAAACGTCATGACACAAGGATCCGAGGAGTGCCCCTTCTTCGCTACCGCACTAGCACAGTCTTCAACTTCTACACGGCCGGGTTAACCCCCAGCCAGGACTTCCGATCGCACGAGCATCAAACAAACCGCATATCCACGATGGCAGTCTCCGCTACACTATCCTTCCTCATGGAGCAATTCGACAAACGAGTCGCGGACAAACCTACGCGAGAGAAGTTCTACCATGACGTGATGGAGTTCTCATATCACCAGCCATTTACCGCGGTAGAGACCGTCCATAGCTTGTTCCAAGGCCAACCTGCTGACCGTGTGATGGCATAGGCTTTCGTGTTTTCGCAGTTCATGTTCGCTCTACTGCCTCTGCTAGGATTTCTAGGATTCTCACTCGGGGTGGCAATCATCACATTGGGAATTTGCGGCTTCTGGATCGGTGTCGGGCGTACGCTGCTCCCGGAGTTTATACGCGGATACGGATAGCTAATGAGCACCAACAGTTTGTGTCCTATTTTCAACACTAGCTTTCACCGCAACCATCGCGACCGTGGTCTGGCTGTGCGCATGCGCGAGCTTCCTATGTGCACGGTGGTTTATGCAACTGATTTCCGGGGCATCGCCGGGGGCAAGGCAACGTGCAATCAAGGGCTCGAACAAAAAGAAGGAGGAGAGGATCCTCTGGGAAAAACTGGCCGCAGTCAAAAGGCCGGAGCGAAATCCCCAAGAGAACACCCCACCGTACAGAGAAACGACCGCGATCAAGTCTCCTGATACCGCGGACGAATCGGGCTCGGACAGCGGTGGTGGGAAAGGCAATGGTCAAAATGTGCTCACCCCGCCTGGAGGCGCGGCGCAATCTCCGCTACTGCAAGCTATGGGCGAAAGTGAGAAGCTGAGAAGGGACATTGAGCGGAGTTTGAGATAGCCTAGTGCACTGGCAAAAACCGGGGGCCGGGATTTGGAAGGCGTTGAGGCTGTTTTTCATTACTTCGCTAATATCTTTCTGTGGGGTGGACGATTGTCGGGGATACTTTTGCTGTACTGTATTTGAAAACGGTACTTTTTTAAAAAAAGAAAATTAAAAAAAATCGGAACAGAGTGCCCCAAATCCCCCCATGCGCTATCCTTCGGTAATCGTGATGTTCAGGGCTCACGACCCCTCAGACACGCCCCCAAAGTCCCCTCGACAAAAAGGTATCATAGGCGATAGAAGGAAGCCGAGTGTGATATGATCATTATTATATCATAACATGAAACACCCCCTCCCTCCCGCCCTGCCTTGACGAGGGAAAGGCCAGCCCCCTCCGAGACTCTGCGATGGACGGATAGATTCATTCAGCCCAACAACAAAACATCCCATACATTATAAATAGTAGCGTACCGCCCCCGCGCCCCCTCCCAACTTTATGGCCTGCACTCGTCAATCCATCCACCCATCCATCCTCAACCCAAAGTACCAGTATGACAGATCTCGAAGGCAGTTTGTTGTTACCGTAACTCGACAACCAGTGTATACATCACACAACCGCACACCCTTGGCTTTTTTTTTTTTTCCTTCCCCATTCCATTCCAACCGATTGTAGCAGGAAGGAAGGAAGGAAGGAAGGAAGGAAGGAAACGTCCCCCTCCCACCACATAATAGTCGGGACAAAACAAAAGGACAAATACCATAACACAGCCATGAAAAATTTCTTGTTTTGTTTTTCAATGGTATCATACCTAAAGAAACATCCGAAGATCTCCCGAAATCTAAATATGGTACGGTACTTTGTGGTAAATACGTATGATATGATTCAGTTCTGTCGGGTGAGGTAGATAAGGCAGGGTAGGGTAGGGTAGGGTAGGTAGAGAGGTGAGGGGCCTCACAAATAAATAAGGGGTAGGTACGATAGTCACCAGTTATGATATGACGGAGAGTTATTATTAAATAAGGTATCATAAGCATGGACCAGGACGGGATCATGATACATCACTCGGTGGTTGGCGTTATGTGCTTGGATTGCCTGGTCTGTCTGCCTGTCTGCTAGTACACTACCCTACCTGTTCAAGCTACTCATCTATTTTGCTAGTCGTGGAGCTGTACCGTTAGGTTTTTATGCTCACGAACAAGCGTTTCCGCTCCTGGGCGCAACTTTGTGATCGGTGTTATGGATGGGTAATGTATCGTATCGTATCGTACCGTATCATCATATCATGGGGAAAAAAGAATCTGCAGACCTTCTTTCCATAAACATTTATTTATTTCATCTATTTCATCGACCGAGTACTGTAACGGCCGGTTCGTTCCCACACCCCTAACGCCAAGTTCCGTCACCATTCTCACAACCACACGAACGAAATACCGGATAAGTTAAGCGAATGGGGGGGGGAGGGGAGGAGAGTATTAACGCATAAAACTCGAGTGTTGTAAAAAAAAAATCAAAAAAAATCCCGGGGGTAAATGTTTGAAACGACTCCGCCACGAGGAAGAAGAAACTTCCCAAGATGATTGATTTGATTGATTGATTGATTGATTGTGCGCGAGTGTGATAAGATATACATCTAAAAAGAAAAAAGGAAAAAAAGGGAAAAAGGGAGAAAAGGCTTCATCATGGTCGTTCACTTTTCAGAGGTTTCAAGAACATTTGTAGGGTAAGGGAAGCTGATGTGGAAGTTTCATGATAACCGCTGGTAGAGGGGGGGGAGAAGGAGAGAGAGAAGTGCCGCCGAGCGGTCAATTCCACCTAGTCTACCTACCTACCTACCTACCTGCAAGGGGCAAGAAGAAGAGCGATAGTACTGCTACGCTATACTACACTACACTACAACTTGCGCCACTGTCACACGATGGAAGGAGCATCAGAATGGCAGGAAGCACAAGCCCCCACCCAAGGTACAATAATAAGTACAGTAAGTAAGTAAGTAAGTAAGTAAGTAAGTAAGCAAGTAAGTAAGTGACCCCACATTACACACATGCACAGTCCGAACGATGAACCAATTTGTTTGTCCGTCCAATCAAGTATTCCATTCAATCCGGATTGGGAGGAAGGATCAAAAAGAGGAAGAAAGAAAAAGGGATCAATCATTATTATTATTATTATTACTTGTATAAGGCATGAGACAGCACAGCACATTACTTGGTCAAGGTGCAGATGTGGTGGGGGCTGTACGCAGTACTCGTACAGTGCACTCCGCCATATGTCTCTCTTTCTCCAGGGAAAAGGACAAGAGAGTCGCTGATGATGATGATAATGATGGAAACGGGAATGTGTCACCCCACAAAAGCCAGACAGATGGAATGTATAAACCACCTGAACAGGCGCGGAGTCACGGATTCGGACAACGGGCGCTTATAACATAACTCTGGCTGTTTCTTTCCTTCTTTCTTGTCGTCGCATGGATAGGGAGGGAGAGGGAGGGAAGTGCCCTGCAGGGTACGGTACTTGTACTTGTACAACGGGTACAGTACAAGTGCTGTGCGGCAATACCGGTTAGTTAGCGCCTGCCTGCCTACTTGCCTCCCATACCTGCCAAACTCTTTTTTCCTTTTCTTTCGGGGAAAATAAAACGTCTTCTTTCCAGAAGCATGATGATCAGCCTCTTTCCTCTTCCCTTTTCCCCCGAGCGAAAACGGATGGGTCCCTGTCTGTAAGCTTAACTTAACTCTAACCTGCATGTGCCTGGAAGATTCCATTTTCCCTGGCCCCACGAGTGATTAAGGCACCGTACGTGAGTCGGTCATGATGGTCCAGGAAGCACACAGGAGAAGAATGAGGCAACGGCAGCAACATGTGCGCTCGCAATCACCTTCTCTCTTCCTTCTTCCTCCAAAACGGGCAGTTGGCCTGCTGTTTCAAAAATCTTCTCCTCCGGGAGAAGCACAATACCTGTACTCGAGTACCGGGACGAATCCACCAACCAGATGGATGGAAAAATAAAGGGGTGGTGGGTGGGGTGGGGGTAGGGGATCAATCATCGTAGAGAATACACCGATAAGAATACCGTACGGCACGAATAATAACAAAGTAATATCCGGACCGCATGCTGTACCGTACGTACCGGTATACATGAGCAAAAAAGAAAAAAGGTAGGTCGCACGGACTGGATTAGACTATTGTGAACCGAAGGACCCTGATTCCCAAGCCTCCCCCCCCTTTCTTTTTTCTTCTTCCCTTTTCTCTTTAGCTTACCCCGCTTAACTTATGATAAGGTCGAGTTAAAGGAACCTGCCGTATCATACCGTACCGACCGAGGGGGGCGCAGCAGGATTGGGGAAGAAAGAAAGGGTAAAAAATCGCCATGGACCTCGAATGAAAAGCCTTTACAAGATAGACAGACACTCGAGTGCCTATAACCTGTGAGAAGAAAAGAAAAGAGAAACTGACCGCTCTCGTCCGTGCTTCTTCTTTCTTTCTCCCCTGTGATAACGCATACACTAGTGCAACAATGACCCTGAACGGAAGGGGGGGAAAGGAAAAATTATATCATACCGGTATCTTCCACACCGGTAAGTATGATAAGTAACAGAGGGGAGAGAGAGGGGAGAGAGAAGGAAGGAAAGAGGAAGAAAGGAGAAAAAGAAAAAAAAGGTCCCACCCCTTTTTCTCCCTTCTCAGCAACCAAACCAAACTGCCGGTACCACACAGCACGGTACCGGTACTCTACCGTACTCGTAAAGAAGAAAGAGAACATCTCAAGTTGCATGATAAAGAGATGAAGCTAAAAGATATAAAAAAAAACGTACAGTACAGTACAGCAGTGCAGTCGTGATAATGGAATAAAGAAATGGAACCAACGGAGGATCTAGAGGACAGTTGGTCAAGGATACAGTGAAATGGAAACGTCGTGTAGTATCGTGATGCCATCGGTTGGTTCGTTCGTTCGTCCGTGTCCGTCCGTCACCGTCACCGTCACACAGGTATCACGATAGCTAGAAAGTATCATGGGAAGATTAATGACAGAGACAGCTGCCAACAACGAGAGTGGTGGGTTAGGTATGATAGGGAAAAGAATGGTGTAATGTAATACCGCAACTACCGATATGCACAAAGGAGGAGAAATCAACCGCTAGATTTCAACTCCACCTACCTACTCGAGTACCGTGGAGTACTATACCGTACTCAATAATAACAATAATATAGTATTCTTAAAACAAAAGAAAGGTATTATACGGCCCGTTTTTCTTCCCCCCTTCTCTACGAGTATGCCGTACCGATAACCATGTGATGTAACCAAATCAACTCGCCGGTGGACCATCGTACTGATAGATAGACACCGATATTGTAACAAGTTATACTATGTTTCCCCACTAATACCGAAAAACTATCACGAGACACGTGAGAGGTGGAAGAATAAAGAATAAAAAATAAAGAATGGAAAAAATGGAAAAGGAGGTTAAATAAAGGTAGGCCAAGTTATGATAACACATGAACATCAAGGAATTTTTTTTTTTGAAAAAAAAAAGCACTCTGGGGAGAAGGTTGAACTATGAACGGTCATCCATGGATGGATGCGTGCATGCGTGGATGGGCCGCGACATCTACTCGTACAGTACACTGCGATAATGGGTATACAGGGTGGAAGGGTGGCGAGGTAGGTTGAGGTGAGGTAAAGCGAGTTAAGCAGAGTGGAAGAATAAAATAAAAAAAGCGTACACGGAAGGAAAACCGAAAGAAGGAGAGAAGAAAGTTTAAGCAAAAAAGATGTCGACAGGAAAGTTTGTTTGTGCGATGATATCTTCCTGGTATATAGAGCAAAAAAAAAAAATGAGAACAAGATATACATCTTTTCCCTCCGCTCCTCCCCTCCTATCCCACTTTCTTTACCATCTCCTCCAGAGACTACTATATCTTTTCCTCCGCCCTTCCAATACAAATATGTAAATAAAAAATAAAAAAAGAAAGCCTAATTTCCCACCGTTTTCCCCTCACCCGCACCAACCGATAAATAACAAAAAAAGGGGGGGGGAAGGGGAGGGAAGTAAAATAAAATAAAAAAACCGCGAATCAATATAAAAAATAATAGTCAAGAAAAAAGTGAAACGAAGAGGTGAAAAAGAATCAAGTGCGCGTCTTGTCCAGAAGCATGAAAAAAAGGGCCACGCCTATCCTATCCACACAAACATTCCAACCATCCCTTACCAATAATTTTTTTAAGCCCGCAAAAGAAAAAAAAAGAAAAAAAGACATCCAACGGTGTATCGCTACTCCCCCAAAACAAAAGAAAAATATAAAAAAAAATATAAAAGAAAAAAAGGAAGAAAAGGAAAATGGCAGGTCATTGCGTGGTAAGTGGAAGAGAGCAATTAAAAGACATTCATAAAATCATCCTATTTGTTGCATCAAGGCCGGGTGCATCAGTGTACTTGGAGCAGGCATGGATGGGGGCATCCCCGCCATTGGCATTTGTTGGGGCATGTAGTTGCTGTGCTCCGAGGTCTCCGAGACGTCCTCGATGGTGTGGAGCTGGTCCTCCTCGTTTTCCAAATCCTCTTCGCTGTAACTACCAGAATAGTTCTCAGCATTGCCCGACGTACCATCACGGTCATGGGTGCGGCGATGTTGGGCCAGATTGTCCGATCGGGAAAAGGCCTTGTTGCAGTGATTGCAGATGTAAGGTCGCTCCTGTGTATGGGTGCGTACATGTCTGGGTTGCGTTAGTGGGCACTTGTTAAGCAACCAATGGATTGGACGCAAGGGGAAGGACCAACCTTTTGAGATGCTCTAATCTCTTGAATAACCGCCCGCAAGACGGAATAGGACATGAGTGGGATTTTTGGGGATACGGTCCGACTTCCATAGCGGTAGCGCTCTTGGCACGTCTTATTGCGCCAGGGCGCTTAATATCGGATCCGGCACTGTATTCTGACTGGTCACAATTTGAGGTAGGGGGTAACGAGTTATCCTCATGCTGCTGCTGCTGCTGTTGTATCATCGAAGAATGGGGAGCCGGACTATGGTCTTCTGCGTAGGAAAGCGGTGTACCGTGCCGCGATAGATCAACAATTTCTCGGGAGGGTATTTGCATACCCATGCTCACGGGAGGTGAATCGGGATCGCTACCATGATCCGACATGGGAACGACGGAAGCCGTTGCCGAACGTCTTAAATGATCGCTTGTCCGCCGCGTGTGACCTGTAGCAGCGTTCGTGGCGTGAGCCAAAGCGCTGATGCCGGGGGTGATGGAGGATCGTCTCCGCCGTTGCTTGTACGTGGGCGAGCCCTCGATGACCGGGTATACATTATTGCTGTAGGCGCGCGGGGTGGAGTTGAAGGGAGGGGCACCGTTGCCGGAAGGTAGAGGAAGCTGGATCATACCATGGAGTGCATTAGCCCCAGTATGATCGGGCATTGTGTTATACACACTGCCATCATGGGCAAGGTAATGAGGCTCAGAAAGCTGTACCATCTGCTGGGGGGGAGTAACAGGCTCGTACGAGATACCCCGAGCACTATAATCCTCCGACGGAGTGAACGACGGAGCCGGGGAATACTCCAAATAGCTCGGCATCGACACTGTTCGCTGATGCATCGGCCTCGACAGCGGCATTCCTGTCCTGTCTGACGGATAATAGGGTCCTACCGAGAATTCATCTTCCCTCTTCACCGGAGCCGGAAGGGACATCGGTATCTGAGGGTACGAGCCCATCTGACCCATATCTTCATGCACAACGGGCATTGAGTGGGGTATTATCTGTGGCGGCGGCATTGAATCCATAGCGCGCATCACAGGGGAGGTGGATGAGGAATAAGTAGCGTGAGCAGAAAATGAGGACGAGTTCGCCTGCTGCGCCTTTGTGAGTTGCTCAAAGAGCGACTGCGACGAGTCGAATTCGAATGAGAGAGCCGGTTCGCTGACAGCAACCGTTGTAGCTTCCTGTCCCATCTTTTCCCTCTTGAGATCACGCTCCAGCGCATCTAGGAAAAGGCGATCATGAGGAACACTATACCAGTAGAATACCTTCTGCTTCTTCTGGGTTCTAATGCAGTTATTTTTGTAAAGAAAGTCGAGAAAAGGGCTCTTAGGCTCCTCCAGCGACGCGTCTGTCCCAGACTTTAAGTTTCTAAGATCGGAAAAAATCCCCTCTTCAAATTTTTTTGAATTCTTCACCGGCCGGCCAAACGCCTGGAAGCGAAATGACAAGCATCTTACGATATCGGTACCCGAGATATGGAAAAGGTTGTTCCTGTCGGACAGTTAGTGAGACCCTCTTTTTTCCCCTTATTTTTTCACGCCGGAAATCAAGCGAGGCGAGGCTGTCTGTGTTCCGTTGCCATGTTTGTTTTCTCCCCACGCTTCACCCCCATCCATCCATTCAGAAGAGAATTCATACCATAAAACACAAGATACGTATTCGCCTGTCGGTAATAAAAATCGCCTTATGTATTGATCAGGCGCCCAGTCGACCGGAGCGGAAATGAGAAAGTATTTCACTGCACAAAACCGTCAGCACAAAGTAGTTCTCCTCGACGCTATCACCCGATTTCAATTCTTCTCCCTCTCCCCTTCCTCCCCTCTCTCGAAACCCCACAAGTCACCGCCAATGACCCCCTTTTCCCCTCTCATCCAAATATTTTCCACCCACCACCAAAGCACTAAAGAGGGTTTATAAGAATGCGCTTACAGTTATCAACTTGCTGAAGAGCTACTTGAGCATCCTGAGGTAATGATTGTTGGGCTTCAGTCGAGAGCATGAAAGTTTCAGGCTTCTGATTCGCGAGGTGGTGTTGGTTATACATTAGGTGGGCCATGATTATCGCGGTCGCGCCTTAGCGGCCGGCACTATGATAAATTTTGGACGGAGTGCGTTGCGAATTCCGGACTGCAGTTGCGGTTGCAGGACGGTGAAGTGCTGAAGAGGGGTAAAAATGCTCAGGGTGGAGCAGTCTCGAGCGGCTGCCGCGTAGTATCTAGCCCAGGCAGGATCTCTTAAAAAAATGAAGGACTTTTTTTTTTCCGCAAAAAAAAAAAAATATAAAAAAAAAAACAAGCGAAGAGCAGAAGCAATGGAGCACGGCTTTAGAGAGCGTGGTGAAGATTCTGAAGGAACGAAGGGGAGGGTCCTGCCTCCGTTGTCCTGCGCAAAGAAAGACCTGTCCCTTGGACGCGTAGACGCAAATAATAATAAAAAATATATAAAAAAACAAAGAAAGCCGGTGAAGTAGGGGGAGAATTACTTCAGAAAGCTTTTTTTGGGAAGAGGGGGGGGGGGTAAGGAAGAGGAAGTGGACGAAGGAGAGGAATCTGGGACGAAGAGAACAGAGAGGGACGAAGGAGATGATGCACGGTGTTAATGAAGGGATGTTGAGGTACGGTAGAGGAGAGGGAGAGAGGAGGAGGGGGGGGGGTGAGTCGATGGGTTGGGTGGGTGGGCGGCTAAGGGGGTGGTAGAGGAGAATGGAGCAGCAAGCACCACAGCGAGGGCAGGCGGCGGCAGGGCGGGCTGAGTTGGGCAGGCCTGCTGCTTGGGTGCGTGGTGTTGGTTGGAGAGAGAGACCGCTGTGGGGAACGAGGACGAAAAGAGGAAAAAAAAGAAAGGAAAGGGAAGGGAGAAAAAAGGAAAAAGAAAAAGGGAAAAGCGAGTTCCACTGTTCCTGGCGGTTGGTCCCCCTCGGGCGTGAGTGAAGAAGGGTGTAGTGTAGGGAAGGCAGGATGGGGAACGGGGAGGAGGGAATGAGGAAATTATTTCAATGAGTAAACGGGGTACGGTGGGCAGTCTGCTGCGAACAAGGGAGGAAGAAGGGATATACCCACAGTGTCTCCCCTCTGGATAAGAGGTTACTCTCTCCCCCGGTCAAAAGGGTTTACTCCGGCGCTGGGCGAGCGTGTAAAAATACGAATGGGAGAAGGGCTCAGAAAAGGACCCGAGCCAAGTCAGAGTTGGGCAAAGGTACCGTGAAGCTCGTCGTCGATCCCGGGCGTATCTATTTTGTCCTCCCTAGCCCATGCGAACCGTAGCCGTAATGAAAAAAGGCTCTCCTAATCTTGTGCAGAAGTTGTACTTGTAGATGTTGTCGTTGCTGCCGGTGCCGGTGCTGGTACTGGTGCTGGTGCTGGTGCTGGTGCTGATGCTGTCGTTGTCGTTGTCGTTGTCGTTGCTGTCGTTGTTGTCGTTGTTGCCCTTATTAACCATCGCAGAGCTGCGCACCTTGTATCCCCGGGTGCTGCTCTCGGTGTGTACTGTGTGTACAGTACAGTACTTGCACAGTGCGGTGGGGTACAGTACTCGTACCGTATAGTACAAGAGCAGTCAGACCTCACGTTATCGTGCTTGTGCCTTCGCTGCTCTAGCCTTGATTCACTTCTACATGTACCCTACGCTGCTGACAACCGACGGATCCCTTCATGGGCCCTTGGCACCAGCTTCAAAAAAAAAAAAAAAAGATGAAAAAAATAAAAGAATCCCGTATCACCATCCATAGCTGGACCGCGGTGCTGTAGAACACCGGGCCGTGGACTGAAGAATCCCTTCAACATCAAGTAGACCTCCGCCCCAAGACAACAGGAAAAGGAACTTCCTCGGGCGCATGAGAATAGGGGCGCGAGCGGATGGGAACGCCCAAGTCATCCTCAGACCTCGCTCTGTCATCCTGCTCCCTTCTGCCGCAGCTCTACAAGGGATTTCTGCTATACGAGTACTGGTACTCTGCAATCTCCATTGCTTCTCCTTCTCCTTCTCCTTCTTCTTCCTCTTCCTCCTTCTCCTACTCCTCCTACTGCTCCTCCCCCTCCCCCTCCCCCTCTTCTCCCTCCCATCCTTGATAACCTTGTGGTTCAATTGATTGAGCGGTTCCTTTTCGAATCATTCTCTCGCCTCGACGTCTGCTGGCTTCCACTCCTTCTGCCCTTTCGAAAGAGGTTTACCGCTGCTCGAACTTGGCTGGGCCTTGTCCGATGGGGAATGCCTGTCCCAGAGCGCAACAATGCTTGCCCGCCTTCTCATTTGGTAACTTTTTTGAATCCTGAAACACGCGCTTGCAAGTCCTCCACCCCCCCCCCTCCCCGTTCTTCCCTCCACTGAACCGTCAAATCCCGGCATGGCTTCTCGTCCAGTTGAACCAGTCCCCCCCAAAAAAATCGGATAACTCCACTCTACAAGTGATCCTCTTCGTCCTCCTTCTCTCTCCCTCTTTCCCCCCCTCTCTCTCTCTTCTCTCTTTTTTTTTTCTTTTTTCTTTTCCTCCCTTTGATCCAGCCTGCTTGCTTGCTTCCTACGGTATCCCCTTCTCCTCCTTCATCCATCTACCCATACCCTATCCCTTCACCCACACGTTTCGCTGTAACCTACCGAACCTGACAGCCTACCTAATCAATCAATCCAACTACGGTAAACCAGACCTGACTGCGCCTTACATCCAACTCTTTCACCCCTCCACCGTAACACGCAAAGTGGTCTGCAAACAAACGACATGTTGGCTCAGAAAGAATAGGGCAGGGCCCCTTTCACCCCCCGTCCAGACAAACCACGAGACCCCGTAAAAAGTTAGTATATACCGTAAGAATCGACTGGATTATACCGGTATACCGACAATTATAATAGAAACTCTATTTGTTCTCTCCCTCTCTCTCTCTCCCTTTCAATGGAAAAGTGGATTCAATAGAGAATAAAGCAGCCGACGTGTTGATCAAGCATGTCGGATTAAATTAAATCTCGTGGACCAACTTTTTTTTTTTGTCCTGTCCTGTCGTTGTCCCCCCCCCCTTCGCTTCGAATACCCACATTTGATTGGTCAATTTTGGGCCTGGAATAAACTTATGGCGCCTTGCATCTTGTGGTGAAGATGCAGTGTGCCCTGGACCACCACCATCACACCCCCCCCCCCCTCCCATATTCCACTCCCGTCATGGGCAAAAAAATATTCCGTCCCTTCCATACCATAGTTTACCGTACAAGTACGCTAACCCATCTCTCTCGGTCTCTCTGTCAGTGTGGGGTCAAATTACACCCACCTACCGGTACCGTACCCAGAAATTGCTATAATGTCTCCTCCCCACGGACAAGCAAAATTCCATGGCGGGTTCCGCTGACTACAAGTGGAAACGATACCCTACCCATACATTCCTCCTTCCTTCCTTCCATTTGTACTAGTACTCGTACCAGCACAAGTATCCATAAGTATAAAAAATAAAATAAAAAAGTATAAAAAAGGGGGGGAGGAGGGCACAGGACCGAGTGGTACTCGAGTACTCGGGAATTTCTTTTATCAATTCCGTGATAAAAAACTCTGGCGATATGATACAATTGAGGCCCAAGATCACGGATATGAATGAAGTATAAAAAAAACCCCCCCGGGCTATCACCCCCGGTTCGTGTTCCTCTTCCTCCCGAGAAGGTACTGTAGGTCCCTTTTTGGTCATGGCGGTCCGGCACGAGACCGGCAATGTCACTGAGGCTGGATTGTCATGGGAAAGCAACCCCCCCCCCAAAGTCAAAGGGAGAGGACAAAAGAGACTCACGGACTCCACCAAGATACGAGTACCGGTACAGTACTTGCAGCACGATAAGTTAGTACCGTATGGTATCTATCTACCGTAGTCCCCCAATCCAACCCAACCCAACTTGGTCAGGCACCCCGCTCGTGCCCTCTACGGTGCGAGTACTAGTAGAATACTTTGGTAAGCGAAGGAAGTAAGGGAGGAAGCACGGGTACCGTACCCTACCGTATGCCATACTTGTACTATATTAACCTTGTCTGTAACGCAACCTATTTTCCGATAAGCACCGGCTTAAAGACGTATCACGAGTGAAAACGGGCCGAACCAATCACGTCGGATACGTTCCTGAACCCTTTCTCTCCGCCGCTTTTGTGCTGCGGCGCCTATTGTAGATCCATGGGCTCATTCGCCTCCTCCTACTTGTATCATCCTGATCCTCTGCCAAAACAAACTTCACAGCGGCTTCGCCATTTGTCCAGCGCTGCTATTTACATTACGGTACTCTAGTGGTTTGTTAGTATCTGTGCCTAGCCTTGCCGATTATTATTATTAACAGCGAACCCGACGATCCCAACCCGACGGACCACAGGCTTTTTCGGATCAGGGGCTGGATGGGACTACCATACCGGTAGTCTCCCTGAGTTACCCAATCAGGCTTACCAAACCAACTTCCACCAAGAATAGCCTGATACCGGAAGACTGCCGCACTGTTACCGTAAATAAATAAATATATGAGCGGCCCAAATATGGTAAGAAATGTTCGCATTGATATGCAATAAAAGAACGGTAGAGAGAAATCGATAAATCCAACAGACCGTTTTCTAGCCCATAATTAGTCTGTTCCCTTGCTACTATTCTTTGTTCAAAATTCAAATTAGAAAAAAAAAAAGATGGCTACTATTCGATCTAGACTTCCTAGTCTGGCTACTTTTCTTTCTTCCATCGTTTTTGAGTTTTATTTGTTCTCACCTTCAGGCCATTTGCTCCCAATTGCCTAGCTAGGCAGGGCTCATCGGCCGTGATCCCAAAACCTCGGTTTCTCTCGGACGAGAGGGGAAGCCCCGTGCGCACTGTTTCAGGAATCGTTGTGGTACCGGTGCGTGAGCCAACCCTCGACGTAATCCTCCGGTTATCAGATTTTGACTCCATCCGAGCGAACCGTCCAGAATCCAGTACTGGTATTGCATTGAATCTTTGTTTGACAAGTGAGTACCAGTACCGTAATCCATTATTCTGGTAGGGTTTGCTCCTCATAAGCTCTCGTACCAGTACAGACCACTTCCTCCCCCCACTCCTTCCCCATCTGTTTTCCCCGCCCCTTCACTTACGCTATTTGCCATTCACTACTGGTGCCGACATCCCCTGATCACATTGCCACTTGACTTAGAGTACGGTACATTATGTCAGTAGCCCGTCGGTAGAGGACTTTGAAGTATTAGGAATGTGGTCTCTTTTTTTTTCCCCTCCTTATGGCGTGGGTCTCTTTGTCCATCGCGGGCCAACGGCGGTATCAGCGAAACAGGTAGTGTAAGCGCGACTAATGTTTTTTCCCCTTTCCTTCCAGCGATATCCGAGCCGTTGGAGATGCCTTCCTGCAAGCCCCTGGTTGACGGCGCAAGAAAGGGCGGGGCCTGCATATGTCATAGCAAAGACTAGAGGTGCAAAGTATCGTACCCCATGCGAGGTTCAACGGTGACTTCGCTGAAAGCAGTATTTGGTGTGACGGTGTCGTTTCCGATTCTGCTCGCTTTTCAGAGGAAAAGGCCAAATCGCCAAGAAAGGGAAAACAGCTTATTGCTCCCCTCAAGCGAACAGTGCGCGGCATCGCAGATCCTCAGTCAGCTTTCAATTAGCTCGTGTCCTTCCGTGATGAGAGAGCAGAGTTGTCACGGTATCACCATCTTGCCTCTTGTTGCGAAAGACGGCCGAGACGCAACTCCAGTGCCATCCCAGGCATAAGCGAAAACAAGCTAATATCTCGTGCGGAGAGAGCGAAGCACAATATATTCAACATTCTTACACCCACTTTTGCTTACACCAAATGCAATAGTTTCCTAGAGTAGATAGAACATGGAGAGAAAAACAAGTGCTATGGTGTGCGCAAAGTCTGTCGAACTCTTGGCGCCGTGGCTGGAGCAAATACCTGTACTGTTCTCTGGGCGGGTGGAAAGGCCTTGGAGCCAATTAGAAGAAGTTCGACAGACTTGCCCAGAACCCCGGTGCGTGTTATAGCCACAGCTGGACATGGGTGTCCCAGTTTAGAAGAAGTAAGGGCTGGTCTAATTATTGCTCACCTCTCACTTAGACTATGCTCCGCTCTCCCGACCCCACCGTGCAACCCGAGATGCTTCTCCAGCATAAATGCAAGCCGCTTTAGTGGAAATGTCCAGAAGAGCTAGCTTCTTTCCAGTAGATGCTTTTGCCCAGGAACCTATACGATGAAGCTATATCACGTTTCACTCAACCCCTTGGAGTATTCTTCGCGGCCCTGGCATCCGCTCTGGGGTTAACGTCCAGAATCGTTTACAGACCAAGCCATCTCAAACGGGCGTTTCAAATATTCCCAAAAGCGAATAAGCAGTGCCTTGCCCCGTCAAGCAGGGACATCGCTGCTGTATAACCTTAAATCGTCCAGTCTTCTCACTCGGCGGTGGCAACGGTGGTTCTTCTAGGGGTCCACAGTCCAATGGCCGACCAACAACATGAAACACCCGGTGCCTCGAAAAATCCAAATCCAATGACTAAGACCTGTCACCGGCCCCCTCCTTTCTGGTTTGTCTTCGTCACCTTGTTACACCGTCATGGGAATACCATGCATGCCGAATCTTCATACTTTTTTCTTTTGGGAGCCAAGGCCATATGAGCACAAGCATATCGAGAGGGAATGAGGTACGCAGTATGCACTAGCTTCCAATTGTCAGATAAACATATCTGATTCCGTCCCGGGAATTCCTCGAAAGCTAGGCCGCTTAATGGCATATCTGGCAATTCACATTTATAGTCATTCCAGAGAACCGATCCCCTATCTCAAGCACCGATACTAAAGAAAAAGTCTTCCGCCTGGCGATCCACCACATCTGCCCCGTGTCCTATCACAGTCCCCAGAGCCTTATACAGGTACCTGCTCAGTTCTATAATCCGATAGACCGCCATGGCGTAACAAAGTCGGGTATACGCGTCTGGGTAACCAGATCAAACACTGAACTTGCATCTCAATGCATTGTGATTTGCACTACCAGCTCCACACCTCCACCTACCGGTACTTGCTCATCGTCTCGTCTCCTCACCGCTGCGAAGAGCATTCGCTACCAAGCCCCCAGAGATATCGACAAGCTGAAACTAGCGGTAGCAGTCGTATCCAAAAGTGCTGTGGGTGTTTTCGCGAATCTATGGCCTGCGTCTTTACCCCTGGAACCATCCACTAGGGGGACTGTTACAGAGGGACAAATTCAGTCATGAAACCATCAATCTCACTTTTGTTAGGTGTGCGTCCTGGCGTTCTTTGGGCCGCTTAAGACAGAGGGCGATCTTATGTCAGGACTTTGGCTTCTAGAAAGAAGAAAGGAAGGAGAAGAAGTTATCCTCAAACAGATCCGATCGTACCCGCTTTTTTTCTTTTTCTTTTTTTTTTCGCTTGCACAATGAAACCACTATTCCCATACTTCGGGAATCGGGTCTGGGGGGAGCAGAATTTGATAGCGCGGATGGCATGACAGATAGATGTTGCGACGTGCGATAGACCTTTTCGATATGTCCGGGTTGTCCTCTTGAAACCGTGGGGTTCGGGCACACGTTATGCACCAAGACCCCGGATAGAAATACGGCAAATCCACGTGATTGGCGATACTCCTCTGCGATAACCGGGCGTTAAGATAGGCGTGCAACGAGTCTGGTATGTGTGATTGACGAACTCGCTAAAATACCGTAGTCATCAATGACAGGTTGGTTCGGTCGTTGAAGCATCCAAAAATTCTAAAATTGATACGTTAACAAAATGGGGGGATACCGTTTCTGCAGTTATTTGATCACCTGAGTGACACCGAACGGTCGACACCCAAGTCCCGAGTCGCCCGGCCGAAATTCCCCGCCCACATGTGTGTTCTATCCATCAATTGGCGAAGAAAATGTCAATCTTCGGGGGGGGGGGGGAAGCCGGTCCTGGTAATGACAACTGTTCAAACTTTAGTTATTACATTTTATTCTTTCTTTTTTGACCTGTTCTACAAACAATCGCGCAGTTCCCCTTGCGAGTCACCCATTTGCAGTTCGCACGGCTATGATACCTTTGAGCGGCTCTTTCGTCGGTTTTGAATTGATAGATTGTAGACGCAAGTGACGTGGCATGGCAGCGAGTCAAGAAAACGGTATGCGGCGTGGATTGCAATTGATACCGTATTGTTCGTCCTCTTCCAAAAGGCACCGGAAATATGGCAAACAGACGTTCGTCCATTGATATGTCGGTGGAGGATTAATTAAGCCAGCATACATACTTTTTCTGAGGAAAAAAATAATTATGAGTGTAAATATGTGTGTGTGTGTATGTGTGTGTGTGTGTGTGTGTGTGCATGCGTGGTTAGCTTCTCCTCGAAATATAAATATAAGCTATTTGATAGCTGTTAGGTCATCAGAAGCTTTGATCAAGAGCCTTGATGTATTGACATAGCAGTGCCAGCGTCGGTGAATTGATGCAAGCCTCCAAAATTTTCGTTGGTGGGAGGCATGCCTATCAAATCAACCCTCAGGAATTGACCACACTCCCGGAGGCCTTGACAGCACGCCAGCAGCAGTCGAAAGCGTCAGCATAATGGTTAGGTTGTCGGGGAGGGGCGATATTTGACGGAGGTGGTGGTTTGCGAGGGGCAATTGGCGGATCAGGGGAGAGAGTGGAAGGGAAGGGAGTTGAGGAGAAGCGGAAAAGAGATGGGAGCGTTGGTCTACGTGTCGTGGGGGAAGTTACGGAGCTTGGAGGGAAAGGGAGGGGAGGGTCCAGCATGCTTGACGTCACGAAGAGGGAGAGGTGAGGGAATCGGGATCTCCCACGCGGCTGTGCACCCGGGTCCTCCTGGCTGTCTGCCCTAATCTTGGCGATAAGTCAAGTACCCGTGGGTGGTGCTCGTCGAGAAACCTCCCAGCTCGACCCGACGCCGCCGAGGAATTGACCAATGAGTGCCGTGCGGTGATGAAAGTTCTCGCGAGACTATGGATTGACTAGGTGATTGAATTTACACTTTTATTGTTGTCGGTGGTTGTTGCGGCTTATCTCAGTATTCGTTGCGTAGGGAGGGAGGGGTTGTTGGTCAATGAGCGAGTTCCTTTCGACTCGTTTTTTGAGTGATGGAAAAGGACGCATCAGAGGCGCAGGGCCGGGCAATCCAAGGCCATAGCCAAACAGAAGGGGAAACAGCGAACCCCTGGGGTCGCTCAAAGACGAGTAAGAATGGAGGTACACATTCCTCTCGGGGTACCGGTATGCGCGGTAGTTGCGTAGATAAGATGCGATATATGATATCAATAACTAAGGTGCTCGAGCGCAGCCTTGTTATAGGGTACTCGCGCCCTGCAGTATGGCACACCTGTATAACGTTATCATGGTGTACCGGGTGCCAGCTTATCATGGTGGAGCACTGGAGTCCAGATGTGTGGATTGGATGCCCCATCCATTGGCTCTTCAACCGACGGTACAGCACCGGTGCGGTGAACTCTCCCACACAAGCCTTTGTCTTCCCAGCATACCGGTGGTATACTGCCCCCCCCCGCTGATGGAACGGCCCTCAAGCAAGGAGGGGATCTTCCACAGCAGGTCCCGTGACATTTGGCTGTCGTTGGTGAGCTCGTGCCCTGAGACCTATTGAGGACCCTTTGACCAGGTGGTCCGAGCTTGTTACAGGCTATCATACCATTGGCATTCCTATTGAGAACCCAATCCGGTAATGCCCAGATCAATAGAGTTCCCGCTCCCATCAACACCGACCTTGAAACCTCCAGCCACCTCCCCATTCAGACATTATAGAGCTCGTTGACTCTTCTGCCTCTCACCATTCACCCCCCTCCCTCCCCTCTCACTATGGTTCACAGCTTTATAGCAGTTTGGCACGTGGGTATATCTTCGAAAATTGGCCACGAGTTCTCCGTCGTCGCTCCCTACCCCTCCACATCGTCTTCTTTTGTTCCACGAGCTTACCGCTACTACTGCTTGACTGCATATTTCTAAAAATACATACCCTCCCTCCATTCGGTCTTTCAAAGTTTTGAGCTTCCCAATGACCGCTGCTAATATTTTCATAAGCCTCGGTGGTTTGTCCATCGTCATGGCCCTCATTCCTTTGGCCTGGCATGTTCGCAACGGGAACACTGCGGCAGTATGTTTGATCGTCTGGATCACGCTTTTTAATCTCCTTTCCTTTTCCAACGCAATTATCTGGGGCGGATCTGGGATTGATATCTACACTGCCTGGGATGGCAAGATCTTCTGCGATATCGAAATCAAGATCTTCATCGCCTCCGGAGCTGGCATTGTGGGTTCCGTCGCAGCTATCGCCAGGAATCTCGCGAGGGTCATGTCGCACAAGGTGTCCGTTATTAAGACGAAACGGGCTCGTAGGAGGGAGTTGGTACAGGACCTACTATTGTCGTTAGGATTGCCTGCGTGGATTATGGCGGTGCATTACCTTGTTCAACCAAGCAGATACTCGCTCCTGGCCACCACTGGATGCACTCCTACCATTGACGATTCTTGGCCTTCGATTCCACTGATCTTGGTATGGCCGCCAATTATTTCACTCGTATCTGCCTATTATGCAGGTTTGGCTTCCTCATCTATCATCACGTATTATCACTCATTTATTCTCCCTTTTCACTAAATGCTTGCTCGTAGGTCTGGTGTTGGCACGCGTCCACAGATATCGTCAGCAGTTTGCAGACATCCTCCGAAGCTCCAATTCCGGTCTCACGACATCGAGATTTATCCGCCTCTTTGTTCTCTCTCTTGTCCTCGTGGCCGTTAATCTCCCGTTGACTTTCTATATCTTTTACCGGAACCTCGATTCCCCTCGGATCACCTACAATTGGGATTTGGTCCATGGCGAAGGTTGGAACTACATTCTCAGAATACCCTCGTACGATATTGTCCAGTTTGACCGGTGGATCAGCGTTGGTGCGGGATATTTCATTTTCTTCGTCTTTGGAATCGGTAGTGATGCATTGAAGATGTATAGGGGCTGGTTGGATAACCTCGGACTCGGGAAACACCTCCCGGACTCCATAATGGGAACGTCTGCCCCTGGAACTGATCAAGGGGGCTCTCAAAGTGGCGGGAGTGCCATTGGAAGCTACCTGTCGAAGCGATGGGCATCGCGACGAATACTCGGCAGTAGTAGCAGTGACTGTAGCAGTAGTGGATCTCGCTCCGGAACCTCCAACAATAAGCAAGTTCACCATCCCCCATTCTTCCCTTTTACTCGAATCCTAACTTGCCTCCTAGGTCAACAACGGAACCCCCTACCACAACCACAAATACAACTAGAAACCAAACTAGCGACATCGACATAGAAGCAAACAAAAGAGCCCCCGCATGGCATTTCGCAAACGAAGGTCCAAGTTTCGTCGTCAAGGCATATGCCGGAAACATAAGGTACAACGACCGAGGAATCCGCGTTGACAAGGATATCGTGGTAGAGAATAAGAGGGCGACGATTTGTTAAAACTGGAACAATGAACGGGAGGAAGGTGTGATATTGGGTTGTGACTTGCATCGGCAGTGCTCACGTTTTTGGCTGGCTGGTTTGGTTAGGTATGGGTACCGTATAATTCCCCTGTGGCTGGGGTGGGGGATAAGTTCACTCCAATAGATTTTTTTTTTCTTCTTTTTTCTATCAAACTTTTAATTTATTGTGTATTTAACCTATATAAACAAAACCGCTACGCGTTTCCCTTTCTTATACTCCTTTCCAAAGCATAAAACCGTGGTGCGCAAACTGATCGTACTGAGGTTAGGCAAGACATCTTATTTAAGCTTTCCACTGTGAGTGCCACTTGTTCCACAGACCGGAAGTGGCCGGAAGATAGCCTTATGCAACCTCTAGATCTCGGAAATGCATTGCAGACACACCCGCCGATCGAGTACTAGTAAAGGCACTGGTAGGGTGGGATAAAAATGTTTGGGCATTCTCCCACCACCACACGTACCATACCGGTACCACAAGAGAACTTAGATTACAACTCTCTACACCGCCAATCTCCGGTCTTCGCAGATCCTCGCCCGAACATCCCATGCTCAAATCCGCCACCCAATCAAGCGTCTCGTCACGCTAACCCCTAGTGGCTCGCATGGTTCGAGTGATGAATCATGAAGTATGATACATCCATGTCGCGGAAAAAAAAAAGAGAGAAACAAGAAAAGAGAGGGAAAGAAAAAAATCCCCTTCCTTATCCGGCAGTGGCAGTACGTGGGAATTCCCCCCACGACACGATACGATACGAGGTAATTTCCATTGGCGAAGGAGCCGGGAAAAGGGAAGAAAGGGGAAAAAGACGGGAAAACAAGAACATTTCTACAAGGAAGTGAAGGACAAGCAGAACAATCAAGAAATTACAGATATCCCCATAACAACCTATGACAATCCAATCCTATTTGGGGGGATTATGGTGCCGGTTATTCCAGGTATTCCGGGGAGAGGGTTAGCTAGTTGGCTAGTTGTTGATAACCCATGTTGGATGATGTCGTCGTTACCGTCGCGATACACAAATGGATGTGAAAGGGGATAGACGAGCAAAGAACAAGAAAAGAAAGATAAGAGGTAGATATATGCGCGTCCATTCCCCCTCCACCGTCCGCCGTAGTGCCGTGAGGAGCGGCCTCAATTTCCCGGAGGCCCGGAAAGGCGGAAGGGGGGGCCAATTAGGCCTGATGCCCAGGGTCTCCACCGCCTTTGGTGGGCCCAGATTCTTCGGTGGACTCAGATGCCTCGGTGGACTCAGATGCCTCGGTGGACTCAGATGCCTCGGTGGACTCAGATGCCTCGGTGGGCTCAGATGCCTTGGTGGACCCAGATTCTTCGGTGGACTCAGATGCCTCGGTGGACTCAGATGCCTCGGTGGACCCAGATTCTTCGGTGGACTCAGATGCCTCGGTGGACCCAGATTCTTCGGTGGGCTCAGATGCCTCGGTGGACCCAGATGCTTCGGTGGGCACAGGCGCTTCTTGAGCTTGAACGGCTTCACCGGCTGCGGCCTCAATGGTATTTCCTCTATCAGTCACATTTAGGGTATCTGTGGAGTTTTAGTAGGGTGGAGAGGAAGAGAGGGGGAGGGCCAAGGCTGCACGGACTTGAGAAGATGGAATACTTTTGGAGCTTGGTTCCGTCTTGTTTGACAATTTGGTACGGGCTAAATTGACCCTCGGCGATTACCTTAGAGCTAAAATCCCGAAAAGCACCACCAACATTTGGTCATTTAGTTAGTCAATCAGCCTTGATTAATAACACCGCCGGACCCCAAAAGGGAGAGAGAAAGAGGGAAAATCTGTTGGATGAAAGATGGCCAGCGTATCGGCGGGTCACGAGGGATGAGGAGATAAACATGTAGTACATACCCTGGCGGCACCCCGGTCAGGTACTCGATACTCTTCGCATTGTCGGTCACGCACATGAAATTAAAGTAATTCGCCTTCCCCTTCCCCTGCCACGAACGGATCGTGTAGCGGATGCATTGGCGGCCGCTACTGGTGGTGCTTAGTTCCGGGGATCTTTGCAATGTTCCGGAAATGATAATCTTCGACATGTCCGTGAAGGAGACGGAAGAGTACGAGAGCCTACGGAAGCAGCGGGTAACAGAGAGGCCCAGGGCTGCTGGTGATGGAGAGCACCGGAACAGGGAGAGCATCGTCGGAGGGGGAAAAAAGGGAGTCAATTGACTGTTTGATTGTTTCCCCTTTGGTGGGCGGGGCAGGGTGGGGCGTATGTGTGCGTGTGATTGAAGATTTGCCGGTAGCGGCGGTGATAGCGGTGGCGATAGCGGTGGTGGTGGTTTGTGCGTGGGTGAAGGCGCGTTTGGAAAGGGGTGGAGGAGAGGAGAGGGGAGGTTTTCTGTGGTTGGGATTTTCCCGGCAGCACCTTTTAGTCCCTGCTGCTCGGGGTGTTTGTGGGGATTTTCGGTTTGTTGCTTTGCTGATTGTGGGATGGGATTAGCTTGGCGTTTTGGTTATGTAATTCCATCTTCTTGCTTCATGGCGCCCGGTTGTTGAGCAATGTTGAGTGGATAGCGGATGCATGGATTGTGAATATTTTCTCAAATTTGATGAAAGAAGGGGTACCCCGGCGCATCGATCGGAGGGGGCAACATGGGGTCCCCGCTCGACTGAGGGCCTGGAGAGATAGCACGAGTGATTCATCATGAATGACCCAGGCATAGGCAATGCTTTTCATTGTCTGATTGAAAGGCGTCAAATTTAAAATCCAGAAGCAGGTGGGCTCTGTCCCTTTGTCTAATTCATGTGGGGCAGTCTTATCCCGAGCGTGGTATGATAGATGTTTACTCGTCAATCATTCTGGTGTTCTTTGTTCCGGGTAAACAGGGCATTATATAGGACCACCCTTCACCGCCAACAGCTGGGTTACCGGCCAGAGGACCTTCGCAGGGCACCCGAGTTTCCAAAATTTCTGCAATGGTTTCGAGAGCTGATCCTGATACATGGCTTTCAACGGCCGAGTTCTTCCGTGCATCACTTCCTGGCGAGCAGCTGCCCGGTGGGCGAGGCGGGCCGGACGAGATGGCTCGCTGTTGCAGGGAAGAATACCCACCCATCGAGGGAGCGCGCGAGCCGTCATGGCTGGCAAGACATGTAATAGACCAAAAAAAATCCCCAAGACAAAATTTGCGCCCCGATGGTCGGGAGACAATTGATATGTGGGCCAGAGAAGACACACAACCAGTGGCTTCGGCTCAGATAACGGTCGGCCGCCGGCCGCTCCCCCCATCGGTTGATACTCTAGCCGTGTGCAAGGCGCGCACCAAAGACATAGAACATCGGACGTGGGCTACATACGCCGAAATCAGGGGTCTAAATGCTATCCGTCGGTACTATGTCGACCACCCCAACGAGTTTCGTCACATACCAGTTCCACGGGTATATACCCACAGCTTTCAGCGGCCCGAGGGCAGCCTCGTGTATAACCGGTTGGAGCGCGGCTTTATCATAATGGAGCATATCAAGCACAGTGGAGCTCTCTACGCATCCTTCCCGAATGGGGACCGGGGTTGGACACGAAGACAGAAGCGGCGATTTGTGAGGAAGATGGCATTAATGCGTCTCCAATTGCTCTTCATACGCAACAACCAAAGGGGAGTAGAACCTCCGATCCGGTTGCGGGTAGGGGTCCTCGTTGTTAAAAGAAAAAAACGGGGGGCAAAGCCTTGCTGACAGAAGAATAGGGGATGCTCTCAACTACCATTAATAAAAAAGCTGCAAAAAACGCTGGAAATACCACATTTTGGGAAGCCAGGTTCAATCCTCCTTACCCAAACAATCGAGCCTGGGTGCAATCTCACCTTGCACTGGAGTACACATATTGGCGAACAGTGGTCAGCAACGACGGCCTACACCATTTGCTCCCGGAGGTGATACCCCCTGGATACCATGAGGAAACTTGGTTTAGTGATTTTCAGGCCCTCCGATCCCACCTTCAGGACCCAGCGGTGCACACCTTCCGTACCGAGCCATTCCATGTCCTCACGCACGGTAAATTCTCACGCCCGAATGATTCCATTCTCATGAAGGGCAAACAAGTCAATAGCATCGTCGACTGGGAAAAATCCGGTTATTTCCCCATCTCGGAAAACGTCAAAGATATTCTCAGGCAATACGAGGGCCGCGGCATAGCAGACCCAGACACCTGGACTGACGATGCAGAGCCCTTCTCGAAAGCCGGGTTTTCCGGCTGGACGTGGGAAGATTGGGTAGAAAATATGAGGATTAACAGGTGGCAATTGGAAACTACTTGGAACAGGCAGCAAGCGGGGCAGGCGGGGCAGGCGAAGAAGGTGGGGAAGGCGAAGAAGGCGAGGAGACCCGATCCAGGGGAGATGGGTACTACGGCCTTCCTTCTTGGGGGCTTCGACTACAATCCTATGGACTCCGGTTCGGATTCGGATTCCGATCCTGCCGGCGTCGGTCCTACGGACGCCGATCCTACGAACGCTGATCCTACGAACGCTGGTCCTACGGGCTCCGATTCTGCGGATCAGATAGCCTTCGGAGACCGGTTCAACTGGTATGGACGCATCACTCCAAATGATTTCAGGTACGGCGACAAGTACGCCGACCAGGATATCGATGAAGGTGATGGGACTGCTCCGGATTCGAAGGTCAGATTAACGGTTAGTATACAATATGCGGAGCATGTATCTTACGTCAGTTCGGAAGGGGAAGCTATGACCGATGAAACAGATTTGGAGTGGTGGTATGGACCCGTCATGCATCTCGTGAACGACTACGTGCAGACCCGCCTAGGCTTCTCTCCAACGTGGAGTTGGCCGGACCCGGTGATAGAGGATTGGGCTCGCCGCCCGATCCAACTTGGCGAGGACCTACGCCTACACTAACACCCTACGAAAACTCTGGGGTTGTTGTGTCCTGTCTCCCCATATCCTTAACCCGGCGGAGCCAGCTCCATTATTTGCCCCCCAGAGTCCTTTTCCTTATCAGAGAGCTCCGCAGGTTGATATCTTTTGTCCTATTTCTCCGGGAGTGGTCTTTGAATAATCCTATGCTGCTCCTGAGCGCCTTATTTCTCTCGTGAGAGGTGTCAATGTACCCTCTTTCTCGTATGCTTTGTTCCTTATATTGTCCTGCGTTCTGTTGTCCATTTATCTATTTATCTACACTTTCCTTATTTCCTCAACCAACTGGCTTCCCCCGAATGCTCTCTCGTCCTTCCTTTCCCTCCTTTATCCCCCCTATTTCCGTCTTCCCACGCCCTTTGCTCGGGCCAATATCTTTAATCTTGTACGCCATCTTGGAAAAGAAGGATAAAATAAAAGAAGGGGAAAGGCAGACCCCGATCCATAACCATGCCTCTCTATACAAAGTGAACCTCCATATGGGCCACACGACTTAGAAAACGTGTGAGGCCCCGAATTCCCTACTGTATCGCGAGAATGGAACACCACAGAATACAGCACCTGGCACCCAGGAGATGCTCTCGGTGCACTTTTTTTCTTTCTATGACAGCGAATTCGCAAGGCACCATGTGATAGAGACCCAAAGCAGCCAACACCAAGCTTGATTTATCAAATCTCCCATATGCAACCCAACATGCGCTCACTCACTCACCACCACAGCGATGGGTAACAATCACAAGCCCGGTTAGTCCACGCGTGTGAAGCAGATGTCCCCGATCCCATCCCACATGTTCCCCTCAACTCACGCGGGAACATACTGTACAGTACCTCACCTTATCATACCCACCCCTCCCACACAGTATGCACCGCACTGCACCGCACCTCACTGTACGATTAGTGCCGGACTGGACGGGCGGGTACGTACCGCACCGTACCACATTTCAGCCGAAAAAGAAAAGAAAAAAAAAATCCGAGATTGTTCCGGTGTATGTTCTGCCATACGTATAACAAACAGTATAGTATAGTATAGTATAGTATGATACGGTGCCAGTATTGTATCGTACGGTACGTAGGTCTGTGAGGTTAGTGTGCTGTGCTGCACTGTACAAGTATTTTGTAAAGGAAAGAATTGGAAAAATTGGAATGGTAAAGAGGATGGGGGGGATACCCGTCTGCCTGTCTGTCTGCCTGTATGTTTTGGAGAAAAGGTTTCTGGTTTGGTTTGTTTGTATCGTAATGGAGGGGGGGGGGAAATACTGGTATATTAGTGCTGGACGGTGCGATGAGTTGGGGTGGGTGTATCGTAACTTGGATGTACTGTGCTGTTCATACATATTGTACTTGCGCGAGTGATATTTGGCACTTGCAGTCGTGCTTACCAATGAATACGAGTACGGTACTGTACCTCTGTGATATTATATGATGCTACGGTGTGGATGTGGATGTGATCGGAACATCGATACCCCGGGGGGGGGGTAGAAAAGTTTTTGTAAAAAGTGAAAGGGGGTAGGGGGCGGGTAAAGTGATGGTATC